TATATATATATATATATATATCTAATTATCTTTGAAATTTCTAAAATCCTAGTCGGTCGTTCTATTTTCTAATTTTTAAGTATACTATCGATTTATCAATCATTTAAATCAATTGAATTCATCCTCAAAATCAATTGAATATATACATTTTTTGCATTATAATAAACTAGAACCTGACCGACCTCAACCCGAATCCGACAACCCAATCCCGAAGCAAACTAAAATCTGAAACCCAAAACTTGGGACTTGATTTCCATATCCGAAATTTGATCGAATTTTTTATTTGCCCACACGAACCCGTGCACACCCCTACTCTAAGTCCAAAGCCACTTCTCCATATTTAAGCAAATTTCCATTAAGCTCTATAACCATTTCAAGATGGTTTCCATCCTTTTGAAATTCATCCAAAAACTTAAAATTTCTAAGTAAACCTTTTTTTAAAATCCGTAGAGGACCACCGTCAGGGGCTTAGCCCCTTTGACCCTCTATTTGTGGTAATTTAAGGTAATAGAGGTAACATATGAAGTGTGTACTTGGAACCTCCCAACCCACATTGTTTGTGTTTATCGATGTCAAGTAAATCACAATAACACCAAAATTGACTGATGACACTAAAATCACCAACATCTAATTTTGTATACCAACCAATTATAACTTGATACTGATCTGATTGATACTAGCTTTTTTGGTTGGTACATGTCAGTACTGATTTTATACCAACTTCAGGTAACGTATATGAAAATTTGATATTTTGTTCAAATCTTGAGTGACGTTTTGAGCTTGCCAATACCACAGTCAATCATGTTTAAAAGTTTTTTTTTTATTTCTTGCAAAAATTCAAATACTCGAAAAAAAAAATTAAGTTATAATTTTGATATTCAATAAAATTAAAAAGATTAGAACTAATACATCTTGTTACTAGTCCTATACCAACTTCGAGGGCAGTTTTGTGGTGTGTGAGGAACAATACCAATTTTTTATTTTAAAATATTAAAATATAACTATAAAGGTGATGTTTGATTGGTTTGAGCTAGGCTTCAAAGGTCAAAAGTACCTGGAAGTCTCAGGTTCAAATGCGGTGACTCCGGACTATCTGCAAAACAGATGGTTGTCTCGGCTCGCATAACGAGTTGGATATCCAGATTAATAAAAAAAATATTAAAATATGAATTTGTAAGTTATAGAAGACATATGATTTTACAAATTTAATAACACGTGTTTGTATTTCAAATGGCCATAACTTCCTGATTGAAATCACAAGATTAAAAAAAAAATACATGATTAAACAACTTAACTATCAAAATAATCAAATTTATATACTTGGTACGATACTTTAATCAATGATTACTGATATAACTGTTATAAATGTTTGGCTGATTTAATTTGATACAAATTTAAAGGAAAGAAAGTATGAAGTTGAAATAAATCACTGATTGTCGTCCAGTTTTATTTATCTTAATCCATGTAATTAAGTTTAAAATTTTATTAATTTTTACCTATCTTAACTGCTAACTTGTTTACTTTTTGACATGTGAATATGTTATAATATTGATACTCATTTACTTGTTCACACACACACATCGTTATCTTCAAAATCGGATGACACCTCTAAAGACATTCTCTACCGGAATCTCTAGAAAGCTCCGGACGCCACTCAGATGCCACTAAGATCTGATATGCATGTTGATACGAAAAAATGTTATGCTTAACGCCTAGTGAGTTAAATCAATTTATCTCATAAATATAAAATAGTAAAACCCGAAAAGTCCCTTTTAAAAATAGTTTCTTATCTAAAACTAACATCTAAAATCAAAAGAATATCTTCACAAAACCCATTGTTTCTAAAATGAGAACTAATAGTTAGAAATTTGCTTTAAATCAAAACCGACATCCATCTTCACTTTCCGAGATAAACGAATAAGACTTGATCCGCAAAACTCTCAAAATAAGATAATGGGTTATATACCTCAAAATACCGAAAGCACAGATAGACTCGTTACCAAAAGCAACATCTTTCTATGAAAGGAGAGACCCGTTTTCCGTCGGCTATTAGCGAAACTCAAAATTAGCCATGTATCAATGTTTGCATCTTACCTAGCACTAGCATGTGTTCTCTCTTGCTCTTATTCCAACACCAAGATGGTTTTCCAACTCATTTTCAAGAAACCAATGAAACTTCATGCATAAAACAGGGGCACCATGTAACACTCCTAACTTTACAAAATAGTAGACCATTCATAACTCCTTCAAATTAAAACAAACTCTAATCAAGAAATACATAACATTTACCCAAACAGAATTCTAAACGCGACTATCTAATTCCCAAACATAATTAGAATAAAACAAATCGTTGTATGATATAACATGGACTCGAGGGTAAAATGAAACTGTATATTAAGTTTTTGATAATTTTAAGTTTTTGAAGTGAAATATTTACTAAATTTCAACTACTTCAAACAAAAATCTCACCAATTTGTCAGAAAATACTATCCTTCTGGCTCCCCCCAGTCAGCAAACTAAAGAATGGATCTTCTTTCTCAGTATCTATTTGCTTTATTGGCAGCCCTGTGTCATTACCTTTTGAAGGTATTGGTGTCTTCACAGTTATGAATGCCACTTTTTTCTTTAATTCAGGTTTACAAGGATCATTTGGATGAACTATCAAACTAGAATTCATAGTCTGTTCATGTTCTAGGTTCTCCCCCCAATCATCTTTTGCATCACTTTGATCAACTTGTTTGCAATCGTTGGTAACACCGTCCATTGAAGAAAGATTGCCCGTCTTGTCTTCTTCAGAAGTCTTGTCCACTATTCTATCCACCGATTTATTTTCTGGAAAAACAAAGCAGAGATGTCAGGTTTACGAACAGGCTTTAGATAGCTCGCAGAGTTTTCATCAACATGGAAAATACATTTTTGCCAAAATTTTCATGAAAGCATGGGTGAGATAAAGCAATTGAAGATTTCTTCAGTGGGATGAGTTGCTGCTATAAGATATGGGAGAAAACAAACCTCAGAAAACACTTCTAAAAGGAGCTGTTTGGATGGTTTTCCATTAAGTCCTGTATGGAAAAACTGATTGTGTGGATTAATTAGTTTGCATAGATTGGGAGGGTTTTGTTTGTGAGGGTTTTCTCATAGATGGAAAGAAGCGTGTTCTTTTAATTGGGAGGGACAGATTTGGTAAAAACTTGGCTTTCTGCATAAAACTCCCCCTAGAAGCTTTACCAAATAAGTCACTTTCTATATCATTAAGCCACTACCAAAAGTCATGCATAGTTGACCAAACAGGCCCTAAAGTTTGACAATTGGTATATATTAAAAGAATTTGCACAAAATAACTAATAACCAAACGAAACAAACCCAATATATCCCACAAAGAGGTAGCTTGGGGGTAAGATGTATGCGGACTTTGCCTCTACCCCAAGGGTAGAGTGACTGATTCCATGAAGACCCCCCCCCCAAACCCCCCGACTTGCAAAGCGAAACCAAAAAACACACATGATGGAAAAGTGGCATAATAACATAGGGAAATTTTTCATGTAACCATCAAACCAGCTATGTTGTATGGATTGGAGTGTCAATGAAAATGTTCATACAAGTATGATACTCCGGTCCAAAAGCCGGCCAAAAATTAGGACGAAAAAACAATGGGTTATATAAAGATTCTTACCTCCAAGAATAGTTTCAACAGTTTGATACTGTACTGTAGATGAACCTTGAAATATGACATCATCCTTTATTATCTCTGGTTCACTCTTCCTTTCCAATAAAACGAACTTATCAGTTTCCCATACACACTCCAGAAACACAGCTTGTTCATTTGTTGGGTAATATTCTCTAAAGACCTACAAATCATTCACACAGAAAGACAGTTACAAAGGCTGATTAACAAAAAGATTGAAGGAGATAAAAGAAGTCAATTTTAACATTATAGAGGAGTGAAATGCCTCAATTCCTTGTTGGTTTAGTTTGATGGACTGCTGCTTATGAGAGAGTGTAGAGACCATGTTGAATACTGAGACAACATCGAGTAATATCTGTTCAAAATAAGATCACAGCTTCAGTCTAAAGCAGGAAACGAAAGAGCTTTGGTGCTGTAAATTTCATGAGTTTTTGCCATTTAGCAACATCCATGTGTGATTAATGATTTATTAAGCCCAAAAAAACTATAAACAAAATAATAATGATCATAAAGAACATAATCATCAAAATATTAAAGCAATGCTTACTTGCTGAGTCAAAACTCGAAGACGTGAAAGCAGAGCCAAGACAGTCATGGAAAATCCCATAAAAAAGGATCTAGCAAGCAAAGTAGATATCTCTCTGTGCAAGGTCAAGGAGAAGGAGATGAACAATAAACAATCCAAACTAAAACAAAAGACAACTGGGGATTTTCCTAGCTGTTATCTCCAAGGGCCCAGAGGTGCACACACCCACACATACATGAACTTAATGGATAACATGAAAGAAACAAAAACCACAACAAAGTAAAGTAATTACGGAAGGTAGGATACATAGCTGCCTTCAGCATTGGCTCAACCATCTGCAAAATAAACCGGAACAAATATTCCAGGTAGGTTCATTATTGTCTCCCTTTATGACTTAAACGATCTATATAAACCATTTGAAACATGTCTGTTTGATTTACAAAATACTTCACAGATGATATACTTCCAAGTAACAATGACGATAAGTATAACAATGAAAAGGGAATGGCTGTCGAATTTCTATATTACTAGTATTTGGGCCCGCACATTGGATGGTGACGATAAATTTCTTAAGGGAGTACTGAACCGAGTTAAAATGAAATGTAATTTCTCAATTAACAATTATTGAAATACAATATAAAAAATGAACGTGTTTTCATAAGTTGTTAACTTGCATATATTCATTATCGTTTTTTGATACGATGAGTTTGTGATACAGTGATAATAATTTTGTTAGTACATTACTTAAAACTCAAACAACATGTCCTACAATCATATCAGTATTACTGAAATATTATAAATATGCAAACGAACTGATCAATATGCTAGACTCGCATTCAGAATCCCAGTAGCAAGTTAGCATAGTAACTTTTTCCCCATTAAAATAGTACTAATATCAACTCTATAATATAGCACAAATGCATCCCCTCTTCTTTAGCTATTATAGTAACTCTTACCCCATAAAAAATAGGATTACCATCAACATTAAAAAATAGGATTACCCAACAAATGCATCATCTCCTGTTATTGATATATACGCACATCATTCTTTCAATTTAACATCTTAACATGGGATAACCAAAACTGACGCCACATTTCAATATTTAAGAATACTCAATCTTATGATGCCATATCATCCAATCCACCTATTTTATGCATACTTTTTTATTCCAATATTTCAACTTTACACCAATGTGGGATAACTAAAACTCAACTAGAATTCATCATTTGAGAATACTCAATTCTCATGGTGCCATTCAAGACCCCTTCTTTATATATATACATATATATATATATATATATATATATATATATAGGAGTGATAAAATGAAAACCACTTAATTTGTACAAACCGTGCAAACCACCTTCATCCGTCTATTTCATTGTTTAATCTTATGAAATTTTTTCATGAAATTGTTTAATCTTGTGAAATTGTTTCATATAATACTTTTTTGAAGAAGTTGTTTCATATATGGTTGTGAAATTATTTCATATAATACTTAATGAAACTGTTTCATGTATTTCTCTAAAATGAAAAATTATGATTGGTTGAATGAAGTTTGCACGGTTTGTACAAATTAAGTGGTTTGCATTTGATCGCTCCCCTATATATATATATATATATATATATATATATATATAGAGAGAGAGAGAGAGAGAGAGAGAGAGAGAGGGGGGTAAAGATCTTTATTTTAACCAATTAAAAGGTGTTAACTTTACAAACCTCAATGAACCAATATAAAACAAGATACACTTTTGATTGATGCACATGATAAATTTATTTAACAAGGGTAAAAATGTAATGTGTTATTTGATCTTTCTTTTGATGCAAATTAATTTTCGGTTACATTTCTTAATTATTCCATGTTTTGCCATTGTGAATATTCGATGCAAATTAATTGTCTGTTACATTTCTTAATTATACCCGAGTAAAGACTTATTCATGGTGAACCATTTCGTTTCAACATTTAAATAAGTATTGTGTTCATATGTGAACCTGATAACCACATACACGTAACAAAAACTAGGTATGTACAAATTACCAATTATTTAAAAAAAATGAATAGTGTTCAGAAGTAAACACATAAACATTGTTCATGAGCACAATTTGATGTTTGTTCGTAGGTGAACCAGTTATCATTCTACATTTATTTCATATATGAACGGGACTACATAGTGTATGTGTTTACTAAAATAAAACATAGATGTTAAAAAAAAAATCTTTACTACTTTTTTCCAAATACACCCTTGTTCATAAGTGTTCATCTATGACTATACGCATCATGTTCTAATTTATTACAAAAAGGTCATGGTGAATGTAAACCATAGATTTCCAAGATGAAGTGTTAAGATTCGTTCACAAAGTTAACACCATTTATTAGGTTAACAAAAGAACCAACCCCTATATATATATATATATATTGATATAAAGATTATATCAACTCTTTCCCTATAAAATTTAAGATAATATCAACCCTATAAGTTTGTCATAAATGCATCCCTCCTTTTATCAATACACTTAACATCTTTCTTTTAGTTTATCTTACCAAGAAAGACGATCAAACAATTCCCAATCATGGTCCTTGCCGATCGGATCATCAAATGGGTTTGGTTATCCCACTTGGGTAGAAAAAAGTACAATTAAAAAGAGCTAACCCCTATAGAAATAGATTTTTTGTAAAAAGAGGGACAACTAAAACGAGTCAACCCTATGAGTTCACACAAATAAAATCCCCTCCTTTGATATTTCTACTGTATTCTTCTAATCTTTCATACTTCAACCAATATGGGATAATAAAGAACAACCAATTTTCAAGATTTGAGTGTAATACTCATTATCCTTCGTTTTACTTTAATATATAATAGATAATATATTTCTGTAAAGAAAAGGGGACGGCTAAAATAAGCCAGCCCTTTGAGTTCACACAGAAAAATCATTCTCTCCTTTAATATACCTAATTCCTCCAACCCTATAAGTTCACACAAAGGAATCATCTCCTCCTTCGATATACTTAATTATTCCTTCTAATCTTTCATCTTCCGTCAATGTGAGATTATCAAAATAAGCACATTTAGATTTGGATACTTCTTTTTTTTAATAGATATAATAGATAATTAGATATATTACATTGTTAAAAAAATGTTTTATTATATAATGAATTGTTTTATCATGTGAATTATATAATTTAACTCTTAATCTTCATGGAATGGTTTTATACACATCTCTTTCTTATCTAGCACCAAATCACATCTCATTACCTATGGTTGTTCCTTTAAAAATATATTGAAAGATTTTTATATATTGATTGATTTACTTTTTTAATTTATCTTTTATAATAAGATTTTTTTTGCAAAAAGAGGATCATAATGATTAAGATAACCCATATATATATATAGATTTTTTTGATGATTTAATTTTTCGATTGTCATGTAAAGGAAGTCTATATATATAGTGATGTAAATAAAAATATATGTAGGTTTATATATTTGTGGATTTTAACTTCATTTATAAGAAAAATGAAATTAATGAAAGCAAGAAAGTGAAAGATTTAGCCATTAATGTGATGATTTTATATCAAAAATAAATCAAAATAAGGAGAAAAAAGATAAATATACCACCTATTGGTTCTTACTTAAACATAATATAATAGATTTTAGCTTTTGCCCACACTATGTCGGTAAAAGAGAAAACATAATTACAAAAAGCACCATCTTAACAATCTTTTTGGACCTCGGTAATGTGCAATCACCAAGTGCAAGAATAGCGTGCCAAAGCTTGTGAATGGAATGGAGCTACATTCTATTAAATGGAGAACTCGGGAAGTCTCAAATCATAAGAATCACCTGTGAAAGTAGACGTGCGGCACCCTCAAGTCGCGCCAGAAAATTATGTTTGCCACCATCACATTTTCTTCTCTTCAAACTGTGGAATACAAGAACGTCAACAAATTGATCCAGCAGGTATTTGTCTTGAAAGACCTGAAACTTTTTGGTATTATTACAAACCCGTGGCAAGCCACCCATTTTTAAATTTTAATAATTCCTTTTAACACGCTTTGTTACATTTAATATACAGTTTAAGTTATGTGTAAATTGAAAACTATTTGATCAAAAAGAAGAACCAAACAAAATAACATAAAATTTTAATGTACATGAGAATGAGATGTTCTCGTAACAAATTATGAGAACCCACAAAATTGTGAGAACCCTAAGAACCAATTCATCATGTGCTATTCATATGATTTTTTTCAGGCTAGGATTTAGGGTACTGATTAACATATACTTGCTTCACAATATGAAAGTTTGTGGCATGCTTGTACACAAAAAATACACACAAAAAAGTTGCACATTATGAACCGAATACATGTGAAACACATTGTGAAAAAAATATATGTTAATCAATACATCAAATAATAGCCTTAGATGGAAAAAATCATGTAATCATACACATCTCTACATTCAGAATGTGATAAGATGATACTTGAAACAGCTATAAGTACACGTTTCCTTATAATTTCTTGACATCTGATGTGTAAACTCCATCAAGATTGAATTATTTGTCATGATTCACTAATATCTTTACATTGCCACGTATTAGATGGATTGTCATGGCTTTGACCTTCACCAACAATGCATACAGAAGTTAACTCGCAGTTGTTCCTATGTGTTGGTGTTGGTCTATGGTGTTCATAACCGAGTACTACACCAACAATGCATACAACCATGTGCAAGATGTTGCTGCGTCTTGCCGAACCAAAGTTGTTACAAAGGTCATATTCAGTCTTGCTTTGAGATATAAATCAAGTATTGTTCAGATTTTTGCGATTTGCTGCCATGCAGGCATTGCGATAGGCGATAGCTGTGTTTGCGTCTTGTGAGATATGTCAAAACTATAAGAATTTAGGTGGTTCCCCAGCTGCATTGTCACAATGTAATCCATTATGATCCAAAAAGTTTGGAAGGAAACCCAAAGGGATTTCATGAGGGGCAGACAAGATCAAAGAAGATAAGTGTGATTTGGTGGTTGTAAGTAGGTTGAGCAAGTATACTCACTTTCAAAAGCTGAAACATCCATATACAACTTATGGAGTAGTGAAAACGTTTGCAAGGGAGTTACAGGAACACGAGGATATCTTGAATTCTGGAAGGGTGTCTCGCGAGAGCTCAATGTCGCATGAAGCAACACGCTTCTGGGAAGAAAAGAGGTAAATTTGGAGGTTGGGAGTTGGTTTTCTGGAAACTACAGCCCTACATGAAGAAATCGTTGGTTGTCAATAAGATGCCACAGCTGCCATATATCCTAATTCCATGGATCTCAACATTGTTGGACTAATGGTTGGTTGGTTATTCATCTGTTGTACCACCACATCTGACACATGACTGGGAAGTAAGTGTTGTATTAGATGACATTATGGGTCAATTGTAGGTCTTGGTGAAGCAGAAAGGGGTGTCAGGACTGAGTCTACTTAAGAAATTTATGAATAAGGGGGTTGAAGAGTGTTGGAAAGTATATTAGGAAGTTATGGTGTGAATATTATGATGTAATGAGGAAATCACTAATTGGTTTCCTTGGTCTTTTTGATTTCCCTTAATCCTTTCTCTTGTTAGCTTAGCTTCTTGTCTATAAATTGTTTGTATTTCGTATTTTGTAAAGATAACAAAGAGAATTCTTTCTTGGCCTCTTTGTTAATGGTATCAGAGCCTACAACGACTGGAGACAACTCTCTTCTCAAAACCCACTCTTCTGTCACCCAACAATATCAAAATATACCTCATCCTTCACAATACTCATCTCACGGAAACCCTTCTCTCCAAATTACCCAACACAAACTCAATGGAACCAATTTTAGAGAATGGTCCCAATCTGTCCTCTTAGTGCTTAAGGGTAAAGGAAAGGCCAGATATGTCACCGGCGATGCTCCCATGCCCGATCCTGATAATCCAAAATTCAGCACATGGGATGCTCAAAACTCCATTGTTATGGCATGGATAATTAACTCCATGGAGCCCAGAATTAGTCGCACCTACCTATTCTGTAAGACAACTCATGAAATTTGGAAGGCTGTCCAAGGGATCTACTCGGACTTCGAGAACTCAAACAAGGTCCAAAATCAGTCACAGAGTATTATAACTTATTGACTGAGTTATGGCAAGAAATGGATTTATTCCATGAAATTAAACAGCACTGCACTGCTGACGGTGTTCAATTCTCCAAGATGGTGGAAAAAGAGTGTCTTTGACTTCCTACAAGGCCTTAACAAAGACTTGGACGTAATCAAGAGAAGGCTACTGAACAGAAACTATTCCCTACAATCGAGAAGTTTTTGCTGAAGTTCAAAGGGAAGAAAGCTGAAAAAGAGTCATATTACTCAACTCCTCTACTAAGCCAAATGCATCCATACTCGGTTCTGCCCTAACAACTCACTAGCCCAAGCCAAACTATGGTCCAAAGAACCTGAGAAACATAAATTATGGTGTGACCACTGTCAGAGAACGAATCCAGCAGGAACTGCTGGAAGCTCGATGGCAAACCGGCCGAATGGAAGCCAAGGAATCAAAGAGAGTCCAGAATTAAGGTATTGCAAACCATTCTTAGCCACCAAAAGATCCGTACTGAATCAGAAACTACGACTTCCACCTCAAGTGCATCAGTGGCTCATAAAGGTACAATCTTTTCTTCGTTCTTCACTAAAGTTGAGACACATCGAGACTGGATTATTAACACAGGTGCGTGGTAGTCGAGATACCTTCTCCAACTATGACGCTTGTGGGGATGATATTCACATTACAGTCGCAGATGGTCAAACTGTAAAGGCTAAAAGATCGTGGGAATGTAGACATCTCAGGACTAAACTTAAAATCAGTCCTACATGTTCCACACCTAAAATGCAATCTTGTTTCAATTAGTAAAATCACCAAAGACGGAAATTGTGCAGTAACTTTTTTCCCTTCTTTGTGTGTTTTTCAGGACCTCTCTTCAGGGAAGATGATTGGCAGTGCTAAGGAGTGTGATGGCCCCTATTTTCTTCGTGACATTAGTTCCTCCTCACAATCTCCACCTCTTGAAAAAGTCTCATCATCAACTGTGTCTAACTTTGAACTTATTTTGTGGCATAAATGCCTCGGTCATCCTAGTTTTCCTTACCTTAAAGCATTGTAGCCCACTTATTCATTAATAAAGATGTTTCTAGTTTTCATTGTGAACATTGCATTGTCGCTAAACAAACTAGAAAAAGCTATCCCCCTCATTCTTATCAACCAACAAAACCATTTCATCTCATTCATAGTGACATCAGGGGTCCACTCGAGAACACTCCCTTATGGGTCCAAGATGGTTCATCACTTCCATTGATGATCATACTCGTGTTTGTTGGGTATACCTAATGAAAGACTAACTAGAAGCAACAATTCAAAAAAAAATCATAAATATGTTTTTGCTGTTTTCCAATTCCAAATCCAAATCCTTCGAAGTGACAATGGAAAAGAATATTTCACCATGACTTGTCCCAGTACCTTGTCAATCATGGGATTCTTCACCAAAGCTCTTGTGTTTACACCCCCCAACAAAATGCGGTTGCTGAACGCAAAAACAGACGCCTTTTACAGGTAGCTCGATCCTTAATGTTTGCTACCACTGTTCCAAACAAATTTTGGGGCGAAGGTGTTCTCACAGCCGCCTGCCTCATCAACAGATTGCCCTAAAAACCTCTAAAGCTTCATACTCCTATCAGCTGCTTTCTAAAAAGTTTTCCCACAACTTATCTCCTTCATTCTCTACCCCTCAAAGTTTTTGGTTGTGACATTCGTTAACAATCACAACCGTCATAGAGGTAAACTTGATCCTAAGGCAGTCAAATGAGTCTTTGAAGGGTACTCCTCCACACAAAAAGGTTACAAGTGATACCATCCTACCTCTAAAAAGTTCTTTGCATCATATGATGTCTCCTTTCTTGAAGATCAATCTTACTATCCTAACGGTTCTCTTCAAAAGGAGCATATACAATATCTCTACCAATATCATACAGTTGAGCACGATGAGATTATAGGCGACAATGTGAAAGTGTTGAACAGCTTGACATATGATCCTCATAGACATATTAGTCTGTCTACAATAGATGCATAAGAATCTCGATGAATTCAATCTTTTAAAGGTAAACAATTGATCGAAAGATTCTACGTAACAAATTACTAACAGAACGGAAGACGATAAAAATAAATTATATCCGATGTAATCTTTAACTCACCATCTGTAGTGGTTTGCCCCCTCAATACCTTCAGCTCATTTGGATGTCGAATAATACCATTATGGAATTTTGATCTATCAAATACATTATGTGATGGCACCCAATTGATATACATAGGTTTTTAACATAACATCATCGACACAGAATCATTAGTTAGTCCACATGCTAGCAATAGGGTATTGTTGCCAAAAATCTCTCCCCTATGTTCATCAAAAGATGACATGCTTAACCACAAGGGTGGTGCCTGATTGGTTTAAGCTTGGCTCCAAAGGTCAAAAGTACCAGGAGGTCCCAGGTTCAAATCCAATGAGGAATAAAAATCCCCTTGTGGCCACAGAGGTTCAAATGCGGTGACTCCGGGATATTTGCAAAGCAGGTGGTCGCCCTAGGATTAGTCGGCTCGCATAGCGAGTTGGATATCCAGGTTAATAAAAAAAAACAGATGACATGTTCCCATTCAAACAGAAGAAAAAATAGTTTCTCATTCAGCTTAGCATTGTTATGACAATCAATAAAGCCCAAGGACACACAATTCTAAACATAGGTGTTTATCTACCAAAATTGGTATTCACACACGACTAACTTTACATGACATTATAGAAAGAGATTGAACACGACAATCTGTAAAAAGGTAATAGTGAAGCTTGCCAAAAAATTCAATTGTGGTGGAGCCTACTAATCAAACATGGTGCGTCAAGAAGTTTTAAGCAATAAATAAGATAGGATCAACTACTTATTATCTTTAAAGTATTGCAGTTAATAGCGGTGAATAGCGAATTGCGGTCATCAGAAGAAATAGCGGTGGTTTATAGCGATGCTGCATTTAGCAGCGCTATTCACCTCTAATCACCACGATTTTGTCCCTAAATAGCGGTGCGCTAAACCGCAATTTTTCTAGGTTGTTTTGGTGATTGGGGCTTTAGGTTTTTTTGTATTTTGAGGGCTTTGGTTTAATATTTGATGGGCTACTTTTAGTTTTAGTTTAATATTTGTTGGGCTTTGGTTTAAAAAGACTCAAAGCAACAGACCTTTTCAGACTTTTAGTTAATGTAATATAAATCATCCCTTTCTACCAAGGCTCTAACTTCAGCAATTCGACTCTCATCTTTTCTTCCAAGCTTCAATTGAACAAATCAATGGGCTCCAGCTCACTCAATGATTGCCTCGTTGAGGGAAAACGGCTTGCCTCGCTTTTCCGTACTTAAAAACCTTGGATATATCCATTGTCAAAATGTTTTCGAATAACTTATGTGACTAAATATCTAGCTACGTTTGATTGCACATAGTGGAATGCAATCCCATTTTCATTTGAGAATTTCTTATTAGAACATAAGGGAGCTAGTGAGTAATTATAGTGGTAATACCTTTCCAAGAGTTGCACCTTTTGCTTAGGTCGATTCCCATTGATGACAAGAAAAGAGGAGTTAACAATTTCCTCTAAATTAATTGACTGAAGAAGCTTAGAGTCTCTCCTCACCTACATTATAAGAACTTTGGTCACAAACCAGAAAAGAAAAAAAGAAAAATAAACTTACGTGCAATTCACTGAAATCAAGGTTTACCCATTACCAAACAATAACTAAGCATGGTTATGGAGCAAAAATCAACACCTTCAATAAGTACTGAAAATATGAGCTTCTGCGATGTTGGTTCTTATTTTTGTGGACAATTCTATCAAGCACGCCTAATTCCGATTGGAGTTGACCAAGGAAAGATTGCAATCGCGCCTCAATTGTTTGAACTTGAGCATCCATGTCCTCAACTGATCAAAGATATATGTGAGCAATAACATGTTATTAAAGAATTCAGACACATCATGTGAGGAAAAAAAATCATACCCTTGTCAATGTGATATGCAATTTTTCAAATTCGAAGGAACTCTATGATGATACATGTAGGAACAATTGCCTACCAAAACAAAGACGCAAAAAACAAGATAAAACAATTCAGTCAATACATGCAAAATACTATCCAGCAAATTTTGGAAAGATGAGAGGTTTCACCAAAACCATAGTACAACAATTAAGAATGCTTCAAAAGCATCAAAACAAATTTTATGGAGCTACGAATGGTCTTTGGTAATGTATGGCCTTCGGTTTTGATGTATAGTGCAAAAGATGGTGAGATATATGATCAATAAAAAGTTGAAGAAAAGAGAGCAAGGCTTACATAAATCTCGATTGATGCTTAAACTATTATGTTAGGGTATGTTAGGGTGCGTTTGATATGCAAACTACATGGGACAGGACGGGACAAAAAAAATAGTTTTATGTTTGGCATGCCATGGACAAAAAAAACATGGAACAAGGTCAGACTATTTTTATTTTTAGTGGGACAAATCTTCATTTCTTGTTCCACCAAAAAAGGTGGAACAACATGGGACTAAAGTTAAAATAACAATATTTTGATTGATTTGTTGTCATTTTACAATCATTATGTGATATAAAATAACATTGAACAACATTTAGGGGTAATATAGTCATTTTAATAGTTTTGCCTTGTCCTGTAATAGTCGTACCAAACATAGGACAGCAATTAGTCCCGTCCCGTCTCAGTACCAAATACTGCCTATCAACCCGAGGATCAAATATGTTGTGTTGGCCTAAACGGCATGCTTAGGAAACAGGGATTGACGCTCATACAGTTAAGCACGATGAGAACAAAAGGGCGATGGTTTCAGTTTGGGTCTTTTTAAGGGAACAAGAAACCCGATTGTGTTCTTGTGCTTAAAGAAGATCTCATTACCCATAGTGTTGGCTTCGATTTTAGAAACACTTAAGGTATTTGCCTATGAAATTAGCTATTGCATGACTCCGTTAGTCCATCATGTGTTTCATATAATAATATTTAGGGTCTTGACCAATGACAATCATGAGTTTCATATGTAAAATTGCAAAGCTATGGGAGACCAGCCAAGTGAATTAGCTACTACACATTCAAGTGAGGGTAAATCATCACTTAACTACTGCACATTTATAGGTTTGTTCAACTATATTATAGCTACTGAAATTGTGTTAATATACATAAAAAACTAATGGGATTAGAACAAAAAGCAGTGGATGATAACTTGAATATTAATCACAGAATGAAGAACTAAAACTCCAAAGATAGGCTTGATTGATTCGATCAACAACTAGATCAATTAATAACAATAGTATTCATTTAACTTTAAACAAACATAAAAAGTATAGAACTTATGCCAWGAACAGCAAAACTTCAGTTGAAACTCATGAACAAAAAAACTTACTTGTGCAGTTGAAGAGTCAATCTAAGAGAAATCAACAATGCAAGCTTCTGAAAGTTTCTGCAGCAAATTACTTTCCTCTACCTCTTTTCCCGTACCTAGGCTGGGATTAAAGAAATAAGAAATATCAATCTTACTACCATGGTATAGATAAGTTTGATGACATACACAACAACTTACCATGAAATGCATAATGAACCTATCCTCTACCACAAGACAGCAAGATGCATCCACACCCATTCTATTTGTAGCTTCCAAAAATCTGATATTCAAGTGGTTTGATCATTGTCACTCATTTTAGTTACAATCTCAATTACCAAAAGTAATTTAGGCAAATAATGGCGTGAAAACAAGTCAGGAAGGAGAAGGCAGAAACTACAAGCACACACTCTTTTGGTTACCCATTTTAGTTACAATCTCAATTACCAAAAGTAATTTAGGCAAATAATGGCGTGAAAACAAGTCAGGAAGGAGAAGGCAGAAACTACAAGCACACACTCTTTTGGTTACCCATTTTAGTTACAATCTCAATTACCAGTGCACTAAGAGAAATGATGCAAAAAGAACAGGCGCAAAACAAGTAGAATCAGTCACTATAACCCCTCTTTGTGCAAGGTGCAACTAACAGATACATCATCAAGAAAGAAGTTCCATAAAAAAATTGAAACAGTTAGATTTGACAATGAAACTTCTATAATAATAATATATAATAATAGAACAAATGTACAAATTCTTTTCCTAAAAGACATTAATATAATCAAAAACAGTCTTTTATGTTTTTCAGAAACTGCTATGCACCTAAAGGAATGAATAACTATGCAGAACTTGCAAGAAGGTAAGCTTGGATTGAAAAATAAATAAGAATYCACCATATTTCAGCCTATGCAATTTTGCKGTCACAAACCACAAAGGACCAATTTCACAGCTTCATTATTAGGTTTTGCAATCAAACAAAGAATTAGAAACTTCAAAAATAAAATAAGTAATAACCCTAGTTCCCTAACCTCACAAGTCACAACTCACAAGAGAGAGGCAGACGGGCGACGGCAGTGAGCAGGCGATAGTCGAGACTCGAGAGCGAGGCGAGAACGAGAGTCGATTTCTGTGGTGAGTTCTGTGAGTGAGGGATGCGAGAGCGAGGCGAGAGACTCGTGAATCGTGAACTAAATCGATTTCTGTTGTGAGTTCTGTGAGTGCGAGAGGCGAGAGCGAGGCGAGGTCGAGGCGAGTGAAGTGAGCCGTGACGGAGGATGATGGACGAATTGCAGTGGACTGTGGTAAGCGGAAACGGTAATATTCTTAGGCCCAAAATGAAAACTGAAGCTTTAGAGGATTTTGATGCCCCTTGGGCTTTATGCTGCCTTGGGCCGTCACCCTCTGGGCCTATGCCCAGGGCCTGCCCTGGGTGGTAAGTGAAAACAATCAATGAAAAAACCTAAGGAGATTTGGAATAAGACCAGAAAGGGTTAAAAAACTAGAAGTTTGAGTGAGCTGCACACTCACCACTGAAGACCCTGCAACATCAATGAATTTGACCTCAACAAGGTTAGATCTTCACCAACTCCCACATTTAAGTTCTTGACAGATGCATGGAAGAATTATCGAGAAGATTGGAAATAGAAGCAAAAAGAAAGGGTTTTTAGAAAAGGGAAAAATATGTAATTTGTAGAAGAGGGCTTTAAAAAAAGAGAGAGAAAGCCGAAAAATGGCCAAAGTCCAACTCTAGATGCGTAGGGACCATTTTAACCACCGGTTTTCTATCTCCACCTCTCCTATTTTTTTTAGGTTATTCTAACGTCATCCCTCCTAAATATTTTAACCTACATTTCTATACCCCTTCTATACAAAAAGACAACTAAAATCCAAAATTAAAATATTTTCAATTAGAAAAATTGCATTAAAATAAAATCAACTTTCACCTGATTTCTATTTTGGGGAACCAACTTTCACCTGATTCCTATTTTGGAAAACCAACTTTCAAAATCGTCATTTTAGGAAACCAACTTGCACTTGATTCCTATTTTGGGAGGCTAACTTGCAAAATAATTATAGAAAAAAGGGAAAATTACATCAAAATTGAACCAACTTTCACCTGATTCCAATTTTGGGGAACCAACTTTTAAAATCGTCATTTAGGGGTCTCTATCAAACTTTTTGTTTATTTAAGGGTCTGGTCGATCTGTTGAACATGTAACAGGTAATTTAAGGGTCTCTATCAAACTTTTGGTTGGATTTGCCAAATTTGATTTAAACTTTAATATTGACACAGATTGGTTAGATATAAAAATCTTTAATGTGATATTTAATATTTATTTTTTATTGCATCAATTAAATTTTTTCTATTAAATTGATTTTTTATTGCATTAGTAAAAAACAATTTTTATCGTGGTAATTTGGATTTTTTTTCAAAAAAATCTTCAATTTGATATCTGAATTTAAAAAAACGAGATTTGAAATGAAAAATAAATTTTATTTGCATTAATTTTTGAAAAAAAAAACAAATTTTAGTTATTTTTCTATAATTACTTTGTAAGTTGGTTCCCCAAAATAAGAATCAGGTGCAAGTTGGTTCCCCAAAATAGGAATCAGGTGCAAGTTGGTTCCCCAAAATGACGATTTTGAAAGTTGGTTCCCCAAAATAGGAATCAGGTGCAAGTTGGTTCCCCAAAATGACGATTTTGAAAGTTGGTTTCCCAAAATAGGAATCAGGTGAAAGTTGATTTCATTTTGGTGCAATTTTCCCTTTTCAGTTTTAATCTTTTATATTTTAACTTTTAACTATTTAACT